TTTAAAAAAAAAAAAAAAAGACCTTCCTTGGTGAGCACTCTATCATTAATTCTCCTTCATCTTCCACCCAATTCCTCCAACTTATCCTCCACTCAGATACGAAAATCATTCCCCTGAAAACATAATTTTAGTCGCTTTTTCGATATCATTTCCATGGAGTAACTTCCACCTGCCGCTCATCTCAAATTAAAAACAATAAGCTACAATTATTTTGTCTTCTATAAACCACTGACATATACTGACCTTGACTCTGCTATACCCCAATCCTTGCTCCACGTATCAAGCAGAAAAACTAGCTTATCAGCCAGCAATCAACTCCGCTGTCTCTCCCGTCTGTGACTTTCACACACGCCATTACCCCAGCTGAAAACACCTTCCTCTTATCCTTCTAACAAGGCACGCCTCACTCCTCAATGCTCATCTATTCACAGAAGATTTCAGGCAAAAGCCTAGCCAGTACAATTCCATATTCCACCATTTACCTGCCCGGTTTCCTAAAGGGAGTTACTATGCTAGAGTCAGATGAAGTCCCATTCACTACTTGACACTCGTTTTATCAACGTGGGTCCTTTAGGGCCTAAGCCCATCCAAGCCAACCATACCTACGCTCCAAAAGAAGCTTCCCCTCGAACCAGATATAGTTGCCCTCTGCTCTCGCCCGGCCTGCATTCATTCCTCCCTTTGTGCTGCCTTTTGCCACTTCCTAAGCTGAGAAGCATACACCCACTGTAGAAGCAAAGGAAGCTCTGATACTGGTCAAAGCCAAGAGCCCTCCTGGACCACGGGGCCAGGAAGGCAGATGGATCAACATGTCCTACAGCTCTTGCTGCCTCCTTGTGATCCTTGGATTGTCTCTGGGGGAGCCATTCTCAAGGCCATGGCTCATGTGATTTATCTCAGAAGGCCCAGGGAAGAGTCACCGGACCTAGTCTTTACAAAAAGGAAAAGGAGGGAATCTTTGTTTTCCTTCATGTCACCCAAGTAGCAAAAATTCAACAGCCAAAACTGAGTAAAAGATGCCGTAGGAGGACATCTTCTAGGCCAGGCCTCAGGCCAGAGAAGCAGAAGGCTTCAAGGGCCAGCTCAAGTTCAAAGTTCACAGTAAAGCCTCCAGCACAAGCACGCACCAAGTCCTCTGTCCACTTTGATCCTCCCTTTCTCTTAACGCCCAGGCGCCTATAGCACACTAGCTTCACGAGATACCGAGCAATTTAGAAAGAAGAACATACAGAGACCGGGTGGGAAGTCTCTCAGGACCAAATATTCACACACAGAGAATACAACGGGAGGCAAAAACAGGAGCCCTGCCCTCCCACCGACTTACACAGTAGGATGACAATGAAGCGACTTCATCTGAAGAACAGTACCATGTGCTGTAACAAGAACACCCGACAGGACTGAGAGGAGGACAGAGCTTATCTAGGCAGTCAGATAAGGAAGTGAGTCTGCACCTGAGGCTAAGTCCAATCATACAAAGTCTTTCAAGCCACCGTACCATTTTGTTTAGGTTTTTGGGTGGTAGTGTTTTAGGGGAGGGGGTTTTTTTTTTTGGTCTTTATCCTAAAAGCAAGGAGAAGCCATTGAAGACATAAGCAGGGGAATGACATAACCAAACTTAACTATTAAAAACTACACAGGCGACGGTGTACAGGACAGACTAGAAAGTGACAATGAGCAGACAGACAGGAGGCAGAGATTCGGGGAACATGATGGTGGCCTGGGCTCGGTGGTGGCAGTGGAGGCAGGTTAGTGAATTCAGGATGCAGCCATGAGGGGAAATGTACAGGACTTATGGGAAGGAGGTTGGGGGGCTGGAAGGAGAGTGAATAGTGAGGAGAGGTGGGCAATGAGGAGGATCCTAGGTCTCTAGGTGGACACTTATGCCCTGGGGACACTGAGGAAGCCCAGTCTGGGGTGGGGTAGGGGTTTGGATACCATGAGTCAGAGATAAGAGAGTAGAAATCTGTCCTGCAGTTTGTTAGGCTGGGTCAACAGAGGTATAAAGCCAGCTGCCAAGTTAACAGGAAACAATGTTTCTCCCAAGAACACACTGGACAGTAAAGTATCATGAAGACCCCTTTCAGTGACTGCTGATTTCTTATTCACAAAAAGCTTATTTTGTAAAATCCCAGACTGTCAGAAATTCTGCTGTTTGGAATTACACCAGTAAAAAGGAAACATCCCACTGTCCCTGTAGGATCGAAGTCACTGGGACAAAGGGGAGCAGCCTTGATTTCTAGCTAGCTACAGAGCTTCAAATGAGGGATTTCCAGACACAATATTCTACATCGAGCTAAACTTTGTAGTTTTCAAAGAAATGAGGCCTGGGCCCACTGTAGTAGGATACGGTGATGGCCCCACACACAGCCCTACTTTGCTTACAGCCCATCGAAATGTGGTTTAATGTGCACTTCACCCAAACTCCACTCTTTCCCAAAACCCACAGCAACTCTAGCCTTTCATTGGCAAGATGCCCACAGTTCCTCTGGGATGTGTCTCCCTCGTGGCAACAAACCAATAAACCTGACCTCATTGGACTACAGGTGCTTCCTGATGGCTGCAGGCTGATTAGGCTAGGACAAACACGGAAAATTTGAAACCATGGTGAAACGAGCAAGAAGAAAAGCCAAGTAGGAGCTGGATACAGGGCCCTAACTAAGCCTGGGGGTCTGGGCCAAACCTAGGGCCAGAGATAAACCTAGGAGCGGCTGGCACCAAGATGGGAACTAAAGCTATGTGTGCATGAGACCACCCATGGAAAAGCCGTGGAGTGAGGGGACAAGGGGCCTAGGCCTGAACCTCAGGCAACTCCAGTAGCTGAAAGGCTGCTACAGAGGACGCATCAGCAAAGCAAACCAAGACGAGATGGCCAGAGAGCGAGAAGAGATGACTACAGGGCCTGGGGACCGTGAGGCAAGAGCTCCTAAAGTCTAACTCTGATCAAGTCACCACAGATTCGCCTGTGGCCCTCGCTCTCGTATGTACCACAATTTTGATTTTGTGATCTCTAAAGATTGACTCGTGCTAACCAATTCATGAGACCCTGATGTAGTTTTCAGAACGCCGGCTTATTAATTTGCAGTGAGACACAACCACTCAGCACGCCGACACTCTCTACTACGGGTAGGCACCTTCCTTCCCTAAAGATAAATGCACATGGGTGACTAGGTGCTCTCAGAAGGCCTCTGGCTGAGCATGGGATCAGAACCAGGGGCTAAGCCAATGACCTGGAGCTACAACATAACCAGTGACCTAGAGCATATCCCGCAGGGTCTCCATGGGAGACAAAATCCCAGATCCTGAGATGTGTGGAAAGGACTGCTTACAGAGAGGAGAGCCGGGGCTTGAGGCCCCCAGAGACTAGCAACAGCCCTCCAGATGGAGGAATCGGAGAAAAACTGACACCAGAGCCCAGCGAGAATGGAGACTGTCAAGGAGGTCCTAGGGTGGGAGTCACAGCTGTGGAGGGAGCAGGAGGAAACACCCCAATCTCTCGCTCCGTCTGTGATGCCTCCCACTGGTGAGCCCTGCTGGCGGCCAGCAAGGAAGTCAGAGGCAGGCAGGGTGCAGGAGTACCGTCCAGAGCACGCCACAGGGCAGCACAGGGTGGATCTGAGGATTCCAAAGAGAAACTAAGCAGCACGGGGGTCTGTGGTGACCAGGAGCATTTTCCCTTCTAATTGTGCATGGTTGCCCTCCTGACCAGGTGCATCTGCACAAACCAAAAGTGTGTACTATTGAGTCCAGATACCTTCTTGTCTGCATCAGTGTTGGAGAAACACTCTGGGCCCCTCAAAAACACTTCTCCCAGAGACCATGCAGGGACCGTGAGTAGTCCAATGCAGGGTGCCAGACCAGCTTTAAGCACCAAAGGCTGATTTAAATGTTACTCAGCCTCAGTTAGGCAAGTGCAGAATCGATCCCAGAATCTAAAAACTTCAACAGGTTCCCAGACTGATACCTGAGGTAATGGCTCAGGTCAAATCTCAAACTCTGAATGAACAAGTCCTGGCAATTCTGGACTTAAATCAGTGCTAGAAACTGACCTGTCAGGGCTGGTGGGGCACCTGGTGGCTCAGTCACCATCTCCAACTCTTGGTTTCGGTCATGATTTCAGGGTCGGGGGATCGAGCCCACATCAGGCTTCGAGCTCAGCAGAGAGTCTGCTTCGGATTCTCGCTCTCCCTCTGCCTCCCACACACCCCCCGTTCTCTAAAATATATAAATAAATCTTGAAAAAAAACCGACCTGTCCATTCACCTAGAAACAAGGAAACACACACCAATCTCTACAAACACATTTAACTCCATGCAAGGTTTCCATGTGGCAAGATCTTTAATTTACACAAGCACTTAAATCGTAGAGTAGAGCTTTTCAATTACAAGAGTATCAAATTTTTATGTTAAGGATGAGAGTAGAAAGAGAAGACAAACTCTAGAAAGCTGGCCACTCTTCCCCCACTGCCAACTTACACATGTCTGAGCTACCCACTCCAGGGTGCCTCTCCTCCTTATGTCCCCTGCCTGTCCCAAATGTAATCACAAGGACTTAACAGCATTTAAGGTTTATGTACCACTACTCTACAGTTGTTCCTGTAAGATCAACCTGCTGACCTAGACTGCTGTCACCGTCCATGACTGCTAAATGTAGGGAAGACTCACTTTTTTCTACAATCTTTAATTTCTGGAAGCTTTCCAGCACTTCCCCATTTAGTATTCGGGGTAAGAAGTCCCGGATCTGCATTACTTCAGTTGTCAGCCGTTCCAGGTCCTTCTTTCTCACTTTAACGAATTCCTCTTTAGTCCCCACGTGCTAAAAGAACAAGCAGATTTTAACATTGTTACATCTCTCTCCCGAGTCGGCGGGCTTCCTTCCTTTGATACCTCCTTCTCATAAAGGCTTCAGAAGCACGTCTTTACCCAACGTGCCCTCTGCTCTGCAGACTTCAAAGTGGGAGCCAGTTTTTTGTTTTTTATCTGCACCCGAGGCCCTCCCCCGAAAGCCAAAGAAGATGCCAGCCGCTGTTTCTGTCCGTCCCGGCGCCCAGCTCCCAGAGACGAAGCGGAAGTTCACCGGCTCCCCCTCGGTGCGCCCCCGCCCCCCCCCCACCCCGCGTTGGCCTTCTCCACCCTTCAACGGTGTCAGGCCACAAACAGAGGCACCGGCAGGCTGGGTGACCTTCAGCGAACGCCGTGAGCCGGGTCTCTCCCACCTCCCCTGCAGCGGAGGTCACAGCGTGGGGACCTGGGGCCCGCACTGTCCCTGCACCTGGCACTGAGGGCCGGGCTCGGGCCACACGTGCCACCGTCGCGCCCCCTGCCCCAGAGCGCAGCCCCCGCGCGCTCGGCGGCGCGGGCCCCCGCCAGGCCCCAGCCCCACCCCGGGGGCCACCCTGCCACGGACGAGGCCCAGGGCAGTCCGGGGAGCACTAGGCAAGACCAAGCGGGTCGCCACACAGCGCGGGAAAGACAGTGGTGGCAGCCCGGGCCTCCTCACTGACCCGGCGGGCCTCCTCACTGACCCGGCGGGCCTCCTCACTGACCCGGCGGGCCTCCTCACTGACCCGGCGGGCCCCCTCAGCGCCGCCTGCCTCGCCCATGGCCGCCGCCGCAGCCTCCGCTCCCTGCGCCTGCGCAGCTGCGCGCCCTCTGACCCCTCACGCCCGAAAGCGCGGGAACGCGTCCACACTGGCGTCGGAAAACGGAGAGCAGCGAGGCTCAAACCTCGAAGAGTTTGAGCGGCATTCTCGGCCCCGCGCACCAGGGTTGGGGTCGGCGAGATCCCACGTCGGCTTTCCTGGCTTAACCGGATTTTTAAACTCGTTAACTGCAAAGTAGAAGGACAGGGAGACTCCAGTGTAAGTGTCAAGTTAAATAAGTCGAACTGGACCTTTCCCGTTTGGCAAGGGACGCTACACTAAGGGACGATGCTTTCAAGGGAACCGCCCGCACGGGGCTGGCGACTATGCTCCCTCGCTGGGCTCTAAGCTCCATTAGCAAGGCTCGAAGCTTTCTGACAGCAGTAGTTTACTAGTAAACTAGTTGCACCTCGTCTGCCCTGGATAGGGAAGGTCAATCCAGCCAGCTGGCTAAGCAACTGAGACGACCACCATGAATTGGAAGATGCCATCTCGTCCATTCACTTGCCCCCACATGCCCACCGAGTTTGCAAATTAGGGTGTAGCCGGTGGGTTCAAATGTACTGGGTTATTGCACAACTAAGACTTCGTCTGTTTCTGAAATTGGCAGGGAGCCAACACCGGAGTCCTCTGAATATTCTCCAGGCCTGGGAACAGACTCACAAGTACACCCTCTAAATCTCTGCGCCCATGCCGGGACCTGTACCAGCCCATCATCCCCTGCATCTGTCCGTGTACCTGCCTCTGTCGCTGCCATCCCCTGCACCAGAATCTGCCCCTGCCATCCCCTGCAAAGAGCTGACCCTGACCCTGTCCCTGCCATCCGCTGCACCGAGACCTGCCTCTGCCATCCCCTGCACCGAGACCTGCCCCTGCCATCCCCTGCACCTGGGTCTGCCCCTACCATCCCCTGCACAGAGAGCTGACCCTAACCCTGCCATCCCCTGCATCGGGACTGATCCTGACCCTACCATCCTCTGCACCGGGACCTGCCCTGTCCCTACCTCTGCCCCTGCCCCGCCCCTGCCCTGGGACCCGGATACTGGGGACGCTGGAAGGCACTGCCTCCAACAGCAGCAGAGCCTCAGACCTGGCCCCCATCAGGGCGACCCCTCAATGGGGCTGTCCCCAACATCCCGCCCAAAACCCCTACGACTGCCGTCCTTCTCTGTCTCCACCCCGCAGAGGCGGCTCAAGGAGTCCAATACAATTAAAAACTCGGCGCCGTCTATCTCGTAGGTGAGCAGTCGATCGGATGGAGTTTTCGTAGAGTGGGCTTAAAGATTCTAGACCACTGAAATTGGCCATCCGTCTCTTCCTGGCCAAGACTCAACGCTAGCTAACCTCGCCGCCAAACGCCTGGAGCTGTGGCGACTGACAGACAGCCGAAGCGTGAAGGCACGACCGAACCCCGACCGGCTTGCTCCGCCCGCGGCCAGGGTCTGCCGCGCTCGCCCCCAGAACGCGGGCGAGCGGCGGCGGCCGGCGCCTTTGTGACGCCATCAGCCCGCGCGCCGCCGCCGCCGCTAGCCGCCTTCTGCGCAGTCGCGGTCCCGGGCAGCTCGGCGGCGGCGGGAGGTTGCGGGCGGCTGGTTGCGGCCGGGGATGGTCCAGCGGGCGCGATGGCTCCCGCCATGCAGCCGGCCGAGCTCCAGTTCGCCCAGCGGCTGGCGTCCCACGAGAAGGGCATCCGGGACCGGGCGGTGAAGAAGCTGCGCCAGTACATCAGCGTGAAGACGCAGAGAGAGACAGGTGGGCGCCCGGCGGTCATCCGCGCCACATGGCGGCCCGGCCGGGGGGGAGCCGGGGGGAGCCGCGGGCGCGGCTGCCTCGCGCCTGTGTGCGTCCGCGCCGCGGGAACCGCTGCCCGCCGGGTCCAGCCCACCGTGACGGTTGAGGGGCTGCAGCCCGCAGGGGCTGGCTAGTGTGCCCAAAGTCACAGGGAGTGGGGAGGCTGGGAGTGGGCCAGTCTGCCCGGCCCTCGAGTCACCACACCAGGCCCGAGCGTTTCTGCTGTGCTCTCCATGGATCCACGTGTTGACTGGACCAACACCTTAGGTGGCAGGAGTTACAGCAGACAAGACAGACAGAATCCCTACTTTCAAAGTTGCACTAGTAAACCGGGCCGGGGGGTGGGTAACTAAAATAGAGTTTTGTAAGGGTAGGAAGGGAAAGGACAATCAAGGGAAGAGGGAGCTCCTTTTCATAGGCTGTTCTAGGAAGGCCTCTGGGGTGATGATGATCGGGTGTGAACAGAGGCGGGAGAGGAGAGCGGAGCGTGCCCCAGAAATGGCTGGAAGACCAGTTAAGGGATGCGTTAGGACTTAAAGCTGGAAGAGTGGGCAGTGGCCAGGTCACACTGGGCTTCATAGTTTGTTTCCTGACTGCAGTGGGATGCCATTGAAGGATTTCGTGTATTTGATCCAAAACGTGTTCTGTAAGCTCTTGAGGGTGTGAACTACAATATGCAGTGGGGGTTTTATGTTGTGCTTGGATACATTTTGATTTGTTTACTGCTAATACCAGTACCTTTAGAGTCTGCTTGAAACAACAGATACTATCTACCCCGGTACTGACTTTCTTAGTTGGGGTTATTTTGAGGAGAAATCACAAAGGACTACCCAGGAAAAAGAAAATACAGTTTTATGGGAAGTCTGCTAGAAATGAATGAAGACCAAATTCCTAACTTCAATTCTGCTGGGGATCTGCCTGAGAGATTTCACTCACTGTCATGGTTTCAGGGATCCCAAGTCCGCTGAAGGTTCCTAACCCGAAGTCTCCAGAGCAGACCTGGCTGCTTTCAGCTCAGATAGGCCTTGTGAACAGGGCACTTCCGCCTGCGTGTCCCATGGGCACCTCAGACGCCCAAAAGTGTTTCATTTTCCTCCCCCTAAAACCTGTTCTGCTTCACTTCTGCCACCATCCACTCAGAATCTGGCTGGACACACAGCAGTGTCCTGGACTCCTCTTCCTGACCCTCTCCCCACCCCTCATCCGTTGTCTCTTGCTTCTGCCTGTTTCATCTTCTGAGTTACTCTGCCCTCCCTGAGTCCCCTTTATCTCATCTAGACTCTGAACTTGCTTACTTCCTAACCAGTCTCCTTAACTCTGTTTGCCCCTCTCTTGAACCTCTCCTCCACAAACCAGCCCAGCACATCTTCTGAAACTGTTCTCATCACGTCACCACCTTCTTGGATTTCCAGGTCTGCAGGCAATGGTGTGTCCTCCCTTTCCCTTTCCACCTCAGTCCCTACATGACTGCTTCGTACTGGTTCTTGGTGTACAGTTTCTCTCCTCTGCCTTTGCGTCTCTTGTTCACTCCTAGCATTCAGTCCAACATCGCTTCCTCCAGACTGCCTTCCCTACCATCTCACACCACCCCTCCAGGATTCCAAAATAGCCAGTGTGTCTCTATCATGGCACTTAGCTGCTTCTTCGTTATCTGTTAGTGTATCATTCTTCCCCAAACAGTGTAAGCTTCCGTCTGTCTGCTTAGCTGGAAGTGGGAGCACATCCAGGCGTATGCAGGCCTGCCTGTACACAGGAACAGAAGGCCAGATGCAGTGCATATGGGCTGAGACAGCCAGACAGAGCTTGTTGCTCAAACCCCTTTGATGAGCAGGCCCGGCATCTGAGGGGACACGGGGGTGTGAGGCCAGTAGGTGTACACCAGTGCCCCCAGGGTCCTGTCTGGTCAGCACCCATCACACTGAGAGTGAGTTATTTCCTATCTCTTCTTCACCACCATGTCCACATTGCATGGAGTACGCTGGGCCTCCAGAAAAGGAACTGTACGGTGAATGTGGTAGACAGTGACCATGGGGCATGCCGCCCCTGAGCCCCATCAACATGAAATGCCAGTTGGGGAATAACGTGACGTTTGGGTCTGACTTGTGGGTCTCATGTGTGGGTCTCATTGACAGGCTCACAATTTGTTGTGTTTTGTCGTGTGCATAGTAAAGGAAATATGAAATCTTAGTCTTACTGATACAAAGAACTGCCCATCAGCAACATAAATAGCTTTGTGATTTTTTTTTTTTTTTTTTAAGTGACCTTGGGGCACCTGGATGGCTCAGTCAGTTAAGTGTCTGACTCTTGATCTCAACTCAGGTCTTGATCTTGGGGTTGTGAGTTCAAGCCCTGTGTTGGGCTCCACACTAGGCATGGAGCCTACTTAATAAAAAATAAGAAAATAATCTCTGCACCTAGAGTGGGTCTCAAACTCACAACCCTGAGATCTAGAGTCAGATGCTCCACCGACTGGGTCAGCCAGGCGCCCTGATAGCCTTGTGATTTTGAAAACAAATTGGAAATCTTTGTAGTGCTTAAAGCAGCTAAATAACTGCTCATGCAGAGCACTCACAGAATGATCACTGTCCATGGTTTTAGTCGTGAGAGCTCATTTGTACTGTTCGTTCATTCATTCATGTCTTTAGCAAACACAGAGCACCTACTGTGTGCTATTACTATTCTTGGAACTGGGAATAGAGCAGTGAACAAAAGACAGAATCCGCCCCCCCCAAGTTTTATTGATTTTGCAACTTTAAACATTTAACATCTACAGAAATTGGGATGTATCTTAAAATCAACTTTGTGAGCATTTTATTTGCCCTCTTTCATTTGGTGGCACATAAAAGAACCATACTTCTTAGGACTGATGGGGTCTCAGATTCAGCAGTGGGGGAATGTTTCTTCATACTAATAGTTTTAGGGGTCTCTGGACCCCATAGGTAGAATAAATGAGAGCTGTGGATGTTTTAACTGACCAGGTGTGGACTCACCCCAACCTAAAATGACTCCCGAGCTCATTTCGCGCTAAGAGTAGCAGTCAGGTTTTCTCATTTCGCAGCTTGTTGGAATTTACTCTGCCCACATCTCACTTCGTGTGCGCCTCATTTGTTGTGAAATAACTAAACCTATGTTATTGCCAGAAACTTAGTGGCATTAGTTTAAGAAAGTTAGCTCCAAGAAGACAGATCAAAAAGCAGTTGTGGGCTGAAACTGCTTCAGTGAGTACTTTACCCTATGAGTGAAGAGAAATTAAATGATGAGCATTTCTCTGTTTTGCTTTAAATGTTTCCAAAATGGGTATTTTAGGCCTTTGGTCATGGAATGAATAAGTCATGGGATGAAAGGTACAGAGAATATAGGCAGGGATACTGTAACAACGTCATGTGGGTGACACATGGTAGCTACGCTTGTGGTAAGCACCTGAAACTGATGTAACACTTATGTGTCAACTGTAAGTCCATTTCTTAACAAAAATGGGTTCAGTCAGTAGAGCATGGTACTCAGTCTCGGGGTCATGAGTTTGAGCCCCACATTGGGGGTGGAGATTACTTAATAAATAAGTTTTTAAAAAAATTGGCACGTTGTTTTGACCAGCTAAATTCCTGGGTGAAAACAAATTATTTTTATACATATGTTGAAAGTACATGTATTAAAAGGGAAAAGAGCTTCAGTAGCCTGTGGGTGGAGAACATGAGATAATCATAATACCAGTAGGGCTGAATAGTGCTTTACTCTTACAAAATGCTTCCAGTACATGCTTTTAATTTTGATCCTAACCATAAACTGTACATATACTGTAGGTGAGGGAACAGGCCCAAAGGCTAGCTGATGGTTTTCTAATACAGCACAGCCAGTAAGTAGTGAGCTGGGGCCTAGCCATGGGTTTGTGTCCACAACACTTTGCTACCTCACATAGGAAGAAACAGAATATGTGTTCAAGTCCAGCCCCCTTTCCTCCCCACTGTCTAGGGTCTACTGTCACCCTGTTACTTTGTTGAAATCCTTGGTTTTCCGTTACATAAACCTCTCTAGCACATCCTTTGCCCCTTTGCCTGTTAGGGGTATGGGTTAACCACAGATACTTGGTATATCAAATTATCACTTGGAGTTGGTTTGACACACTGGTGCCCTTAGAAGAACTATCTGGAGATAAATACACATTGTGCTGTTTTTAAGTGAAAAAGGCCGGGATATGGAATACATAGCGCGTGTGACGCTATCTAGGTTACACACAAACAGCCATGCATCTGCGTTTCTGTACTAGGTGTAAGCATTATGTCAGTGTACAGGAAGGATCTGGAAAGATGCACGTCAGGCAGATAACAGTGGTCCCTCTGGGGTTCAGGGGGTAGTAAACAAGGCACTTCTGATTGTGTAACTTTTGGTGTAATATATTAATATATTGTTGTTGTTGCAATAAAAATGTGTTTTTATTGGGTTAAGACTTCTTTTCAGTTACAACCTGACAGAACATCCATGCCAAACTAGTTTGTTTTGTTTATTTATTTGAGAGAGAGAGCATGTGTGAACGCAAGCAAGCAAGCAGGGGGAGGAGCAGAGAGGAAGGGAGAAAGAATATCAAGCAGATCCCATGACCCTGAGCCAAAACCAAGAGTCAGACACTTAACCGACTGAGCTACCCAGGTGCCCCCAAGCCAAACTAGTTTGAAGAGGAAAAACCAAAGCA